TATTTGTTTTAAATAAATAAAATTAAATCCAGAATATTTGAATGAAGACATTACCTGCCTGATATAAAGCATCGTATGATTTTACCTTGATGTAATGAGTTTTGTAATAGCTTAAGCCGTTTTCGGGAAAATAGTATAAATGTCGAAATTCCATTAGACGAAGAGCCACTTCTGGTTAGTCGATTTTGCCGAAAACGTTGTTGTAATATCCTTGGCGTATATCTACTTTAAATACTTAATTTCATTTAAGTAGAACTATTAGTTTTTGAGGCAGGCAGTTCACACACATAGATTATTTTTAAACTTGATTTTTGGATTCAGAAGATCTCAAAAAGTGTATTTCCAGTGAAAACTCGGATACCAAAATATTCACAATCATAATATTTTCCCTTTCCTTCAAACAAATCTTATCTTTCATATAAGAGTAAGTTCAAGTAAAAAGATAAAACACTTTAATATTGTGGGCGACAATATTTAACGAAAAATGAAAAAAAAAAATCGTGGGACGTCTGTGACATTACGGAAAACTCAGTGTTGGTACCTGTTAATTACCCTTGAAGTACCTGGTCCCTTAAATTAGAGTGTACCTTTACGGAGGAAGTTTTAAATAGGGAGGAAGGGGAAGCGGAGGTTTGTGGGAGGGTAGGGGGGGGGAGTAACTCACTTACCTCTTTCACAATTTTCTGTTTGCCATCCGCACTGCAAACATGGGCCAGAAAGGGTGGTTACAAAACTGAGTTTTGTTTATTTATTTTGTTCGTTCGCTCTTACTTTTTTCCATCTGAATTTTAGTAAAAGAACGTTCTAAGATCTCTTAATCAGAACAAGAGAATGTCAGTCCAAGCTTATTCCTATATGCCTTATGTTTTAGGTTGAGGTTATGAATAAGTTAATATATATTATACAGAATTTCACCAGTCGGAAATCATTCAGTCTTTGTTAAGATATGATAAGATCAAGCAAAGCGTAATAGCTTAAATTAGTTTTACGAGTTTAAACTCGAAATGAACAAGGCCCAAGCGGCCAAAAATATTAATAATGTGTGAAGGAGGATGCACCGTTTGACGTCTGTTTTAAAAAAAATCAAGAGGGGACTTTAGCCTTGAAGACAAATATGACCATGTAAGAACGTTTTTGTTTGAAGAATATATTCTGCGAGGTTTGGTCGAAGGAAATTCCTTACAAATGTTCGAAAACTTGCAGGGAATTTCGGTAAGGAAATCGATCATCGCTTACAGTCTCAAAACATTGGCTTTAAACGGCTACAAAAAAAAAATCTGTATTGAAGATTTTGCTCCTTTTCTTTCCGTCCATTTCTTTAGACCTCTTGCCTACATACAAACAACTTTCAGCATTTTTCCACTTTTTAGAAGGTAAAAGTTTTATTGATAAAAATTCGTTAATAAAGATTAAAAATCTATTTAGAGGATATGCAACACGTTGGTTGAAATGTTTCGAGTATTATTTTTTTTTCATATTTGTTATTGTTTTATTTTTTTAAACTTGAACAAATCCGATAGCTAGGATCCCACCAGGACAAACGTCTACTTGGAATCCTCACACAGGCGGAACCACGCAAGGGGGGAGAGCGACTTTCGGGCTGAAACTGCCTCCCCAAAACGGTAAAATATAACCATGTTTTAAAGAAAAATATTAAGAACTATCTTTTAAAGTATTATTGTTCGTTTAATTACATTTAATATGACTTAAGAACTTAAGAATCACCAAAACATCATTTCATATAGGTAGTTAATTTCTTTCTTTCTTTTATTCAAATTAATTATTATTATACATATGAAGAAAAAAATCTTTCAGGCAGAAGACCACCCCAAAATTAAATCCTGGATCTACCAGTGACTCCTCATATCAGACAGACACGAGTAAAAACAGCACGACCTTTCCGACTACTTCAGCAGCTACTAGCCAAACGCTTAAAGCTTCCAATTAATTACAAAAAAACTCCTATACATGACTATAATAAGGCCTATTTGGACTTACGGAGTTGAGCTTTGTGGGTCCACTAAACCATCTTATTCCTCTCGTTTACAATCCAAAATCCTAAATGCTCCTTACTGTATTACAAAATTAAAATAATCCATAACGACCTTAATGTACCACATGTTTCCAATTTAAATCATTCCAGATACATGACCTTCCATAATGAACTTCTGAAACATTCGCAGCCTCTTGTTTGTAGCCTTGCTTCCTCTTCTATTCCTGATAACCCCCCCGATGCATCTGAAAAGAAGATGGCCTCGGGACCTTCTAATACATAACTATAATTGGAGTGTTAGTAATGGGTAGTTTCACTTCATGTTTCCAATCTTTACAATAAAAATCCTTAAAGCTCCTTACTTTATAACAAATAAAATAATTCATAACGACCTGAATGTTCAAAGTTTTCGATTTGGCCCAATCCAGATACCTTTCCTTCCATGATAAACTTCAGAACCATCCTAACCATCTCGTTTCTAATCTGATTTCTTCCTCGATCTCTGATAACCCTTCTAGACTTCTGAAAAGAAGATGGCCTCGTGATCTCCTAATTTGGACACTTTATTAGAGTGCTACCTATGGGTAGATTCTCTACAAGCCTTGTCATGCCATGTATTTCTCTGTATCACATTTGGTGAACGTATACTAATTTGTATACAGTTGTAAATTTCATAAATAAAAAAATATCCATATCATGGTTAAATCCATGGTTAACTCAATAATATTTTATATATCTTACTGCGGATTTCTTTCCAGACCCAACTCCTTTATCATTGATTTAATCTAAGGTCAACTACATATATATTTAGAGCAATATTAAGATACCATGAAGCCAGGTTTGAACTGTTGTTAGGCAGTAGAGGGACTATCAATTATCAGGCGGGTTTGAGGGGCCTCCTCAATATTGCATTAGCAGCCCCCTCCAGCAACTCTGGCAACTTTGTCAGTGAATAACTTAAACCTTCCCTCCCGGTACAAATGGCCTCCTCCTCACATCTCGTCTGGTCCCTTCATAAATTATATCAACAATTATCTGACATTCTACATTAATTTTAAAACGTTTTGCAACAACTCTAATTGCCAAGTTTAAATTTAATTAATCTTAAGAAATCAGTAATAATTTGATCTTGCTTATTCCATCACAGACCCATAAACTCAATTTTCTGACGAAAAGATTATCGAGAAAAATATAAATAAATAAAAAAGGATCTAGCTGTGGGGCTCTAATAAACCATCAAATTACTCTCGTATCCAATTCCTTTAATTCAAAATCTTTCGTAAAATCCTTAATGCTCCCTACTTTGTCACAAATAAAACCAACCATAATGACCTTAATGTACCATATGTTTCCGATTTAGCTCAATTTCAGATACATGTCATTCCATAATAAACTTCTGAACCGTCCGAACCCTCTTTTTTCTAATCTTGCTTCCTCTTCTATTTCTGATAACCCTCCAAGGCGTCTGAAAAGAAGATGGCCTCGAGACCTTCTAATATAGAAATATAATGGGAGTGCTACCAATGGGTAGTTTCTCTTCATGTTGTATATTTCATGATGCTTGTTCATATTTGCTTGTTGAGTTTGTCACTTGATGCAATTTTAAATTTCTATAATTAAAAAAATAATAATAAAACAAAGTCTAATATAAATGTTGTTGTTTTCCTCTGTCCACTTGATTGAATCAAAAGACTCCAGCCATATCATCAGTATATCTAAGGATTTTGTGATTGAGTCTGACGTGACCCCTCTAATTCACGTGATATTCTGATCTCCCTTTAAACGGTGAGATCCACATCCCTGCAGTAAGTCAGTTCGAATTTTGAAGACTTTAGATACTTCTTTCTTTATCAGAACTATACATTTAGAGTCATTTGTACACGCCAATCTCACAAACTTTCCGAGAATTTACATTTCAGACATGATTTTCCAATGGCAGTTCCTGTCCACGGAACTATGGCGGAATATGCGTTGAAATCGGCAAATAAGGTCTGCACATCCTGAGTTACTTCCTAATGTTTTTCAAGTACTTGTTTTAGGGTACTCCTTCCTTCCTTGATGGCAACCAATTGTATTTACGTAATATCAATACATCCGGTTTAGTAGGATATTGGTCATTGTTTTGTAGGAAACCGGAAGGAGTGGTATGCTTTTGTCATTACCATACACATACATGAAAGGAGCCTCCTGGCGGAAGTTTCGCTGTCAAAATTTTTGAGGGGAGGCATATTTTGATGTTTTTTAATTTTTTAGGGGAGCAAATTTCGAAGGGTTGTGAATTTTCGGACTAAGGGAGCAGGTGGAACCATGGAACAGACCTCACCAAGTGTATTGTATATGATCTACGATTTTTCTAATTCTACTTTCCCTTGTTCTGTTTTAAAGAAAATGTGAACTCCTTGGAAGGAAGAGGAGGGGCAGGTTCTAGTACCATCGACCTTTGGGGGGATGGACATCCTTGTACATGGAGCCTTTCTTTATATAGGCCAGTATTCCAAGGCTCATATATTGGGGTGTGGTGGCCGAGCGGACTAATGCGTGTGTACTGCACCACGCGTTGTCCGCCAACCTGATATCCAAATTCGGAGTCAGTAAAATAATTAGTTCGGTGCCCGGTGGGTCTTTAACCTCATCCCCTGAACCGGGAAAACTCCGTATAGACTAAAAGGCAATGTAGGGAAGACAAAAGAAAAAATATGGCTTTGATATAATTTCCTCCCCTTTTTTTAGGAATAATAATAATTTGGCTCTTAAGTTTTTTTCTTCCATCTTTAAATAGCTCTGATGGTAGTTTGTCGACCCCTTTCTATAGCTATTTCCATACCCAGTATATTTGGTTTTAAACCTCTTCTGGATCGAGGACCTCAGTGTGGCCCATGTGGATTCGTGGATTCCCCTTGACTGGGAAGTTGCTATAAATGTTTTTATTTACTGATTCTCTGTTTCTTTACTTTAAAAGTATATGTATTGTCTTTTTTTTTTTTTAATTCAATATGATTTCTTATAGATACCAATCCCATGCAGACCTCAGAAGACTTTCGTGGTACTGGTCTTGGATGTACCAGAGGACCTGCCCGAAGAAGACATCCGCCATTCCCTCTACAAGTTCCAGTCAGTAGTTGAGGTCTCCAGGGTCCAGTCTATTCCAATAGCTCAAGCAGAGAAAGGCGAGAAAACAATCACATCAGGTAATCAGAAAAATTGATTTTTAAAATTTCAAATTCAGAAATAACCAAAAAAAAATACCAATAAGAAACACTCGAACTTGAGTCTCTGAATAAAGAGTGCACTGTACCCATTGTATTTTATCCTAAATAATGTTCTAGCACAAATATAATTTGAATATTTTTTTAAAAATAGAAATCTCGGTATTACCCTGTTTGATATAGACATAACATTTATATGATATAACAATTCTAAAAAGAGAACCCAGATTCAAGGTAAGAATAACATGGCCTGCAATTTGGAGCTTCGACAAAAACTCACACGACCGCACTTTAGGTAGAATTCTGGACATTTTCGAGTGTAGTTGAGTGGTTTTGATAATTATAAAAGTAAAAAAAAAAACATTGCATAAGTGCCTCATTTAGTTGTTTATGTAATAAAATGTCTATTTTATATTTATTTTACTTTTTTAACACTCACGTACATTTTTATAAATATTCGTTCGTAAACACGCGGTTACACTCGAAAATATTTATAATTCCATATAGGATGAGATTATGTAAGCTCGTGTTCATCCGCCATCTTCGTAAATTTTCGGACACGCTCGTCTACTTTCGGCATCCAGTGCTCGGGCAAACTAAATATTAGAGACAATTTGCATGTTCAAAAATATGACCAGTGATAAATATTTAATATTCGAAACTTTAAAAAAAAATTAAAAAATACATAAGTATTAACTTTAGATAAAAATTGAGATAAAACAAAACATGCATTTAAACTTTTAAAAAAATTAAAATAATATTTATTTATAAAAGAATAAATAGTACATTGTGTGAATCTGATAATATTTTGTTATTATATTCACACTGAATTAACATTAGCGAGATTAAATCATTTCAATATATTTGTTATTTATTATTAATTATTTAAATATACGAGAATACTGTAAAAAAATATATTTATTATAAAGATAGCCTATTTATGAAAAATTCAGATATAATTAAACAATTTTTAATGCTCCAGAAATTATTTTACTTTGATATAAATATGTAAAATAAATTGCTAAAAAATTCATAATATTAAGTAGGACTAATAAATGATTCTATCTAAGTAAAATTTTAATTTAAAATTCACAATATTGCTGAAAGCTTCTAATGAATATTTAAAAAGAAAATATTTAAATAATTTAAAAAAACAAACAGGAATCTACTCAAATCGTTATAAAAGGTGGAAAAAAATAATCTTTAAAAACTTACATGGATGTCGCAGTGTGATGGTGGGGTCTTCTTTCTTGGTCACAAATATTTTTTAGAAATGACACAAACTTATTAATACCGATTGGAAACACAGAAACAATGACGAACTTATTAAACAAAACGCATCACACACGAAATTAAAACGATTCGACACTGACCGAAAACCTGTAACAGAATATTTTTTTATGAGAGAGGTGCTATGAAAAAAAGCAGTGGTTACTTGATAATTGAGCTATAGAGAATTCTGATTGGCTGAACGTTCGCGCGTTTTGCTCCCCCCACCACTCTGTCTAGAACATTCGATTTCTAATACAATGCAAATTCTATTTATATTAAGGCGTATCAAAATTCTCGTATAACTTAAATTATATTTGAATATTCAGACATTTCTAACTTCAGTCTAATCATAATTATTTCTAATTAATTGTAAAAATAAATTATGGAATGTAAATTATTATTTTGAAAATAGATATTTTTATTTTTCATTTTTGTATTGGATTCAATTTCACAGCTTATTAGTTCTCAAATTATTACTTACTTAAATATGAATTAGATGAATAAATAAAAACATTTTTAATCTACCTTTAAATATTAAATTTTAACATTAGAGTGCTCCATGGGTTGGTTTCGATGCTCTTTAAGAAAGTAAGATAAATATAAAATTATTAGTTAAAACATATATAGTCTTCCAATTGTCTAGCAATGATGGCTATTTTTTTTTCATTACTAAAGAGAATCGTATTATTTGTATAAGGAAAACGTGGTCGATACGTTGTCAAATTAAAAAGAATAAAAACTAAATTAATGTAGTTTATTATTAAATTAAAGCTAAATGACCTAATATCCCATTAAAATAATTATTCAATATATATATATATATATATATATATATATATATATATATATATATATATATATATATATATATATATATATGTAGTATCAGTTCACAAATAATAAAAAATTCTTGGTTTATTGCAGTTCCTCTTAATATATTTATATTGAAACGTATCAATATATAATTTTCTTATAGTTACACTTGCACACTAAAAGATAATCTTTATATTAATTAATCGTTATTTAGGTATACAATTATCGGTATAACTAATCCATATTTTTCTAAGATTTATTTTAAATTTTATATAATTTTTTGGAGGCTAATAATTTAAAAATTATAATTAGCTGATTTTAGTTATCTCTATGGTTAATGGATGATAAAAAAACGTTTTTTTCTTTAACAGCTCCCAAAGTCTTTTTTTTATTTATTTTTTATTCTTTCATACTTTTCTTTATTCTTATTTCTTGCTTATTTCTATATTTTAATTAGGAAAAATGTCTTTTTTAATTTTTATATCAATTAATTAATATAATATTTATTCGGTTATTTATAATAATATGTTTCCGTAAAAGCAGTTTTAATTTCAATTAATTAAATCGATTCAGAATTATTTAAAAATATATACATATAAAATATGGAAAGTTTAAACCGCATTATTAGAGTTAAAATATTCTTTGTGAAAAATAATGTGATATGTAATATTTATCCGTTAAATTAATTTAAAACATTTCTTACATGAAAAATTGTTTAATGATAAGGTGAGCTATTCTCAATGGCAGCAAAACTAAAAAGCAAAAGTAAAAAAATACCACTGTTAAATATATAGTACCAGTTCACAAATAAACTATTGTTACTATTAATATATATATATATGTGAATGCTAGTTTAAATAAATAACACACTAACCACAATCATAACACTGAAATTAATATTGGAAACAGATTCGACACTTCTACCCGAAACGCACGAGAAAGACTGAAGTTATGATTTGTTTTGAGCAGTGGAATGCTAGGTAATTGTGTTATAGCAGAAATTCCCGCCATCCTGTCCCCCCACTCCAGCCCACAACCATCTTTGTAAAACAAAACAAATATTCTCATTTCAACATCACATTATACCAAGTTACCTTTTAATTATTTCAATGAAATTCATACATGTTGTACATGTCGGCATAGTGTTCATATATATATATATATATATATATATATATATATATATATATATATATATATATATATATATATATATATATATATATATATATAAAATAATTTTTTTCAATTACACTGTTAAAATTTAATTTATTAAATAATTTCTCATTCAGATAAAATAATAAGTAAATAGTTATGAAGCCATAGACTCAGACTTTCGATTTTGGTTGGGGGGAGGAGTGGAGATGGAGTTTTTATTATTTGTAAAAATTTAACATAATTATTGTGAAACGACCCCATATAATATTGCATATTTAAAATTAATTTGTTTATATTTCTGTATAGAGTTATAAAGATTTTTCTTTTTAGTTTTGTTTTGCTCATTATATATATTTGAAAATATCTTTAAAAATAGATTGAATACATAAAGTATTTATTTAGATTAAACATAAGAGGGGTGATGGTGGGGGGAGGGGGGGGGAGGAGAGATAGATTTCAGAACATAGGTACATTTCTCAAACATTTTCAGCAAAAAATAAAATAATGTAAAAAAAGTGAAAATATCTTTGATTTCTCAGTGTGTACAACCTCAAATAAATATATTTTGCACAGTCCGACTAGTTTGCTACGGAATATGTAATACAAATGTCACGTGAAAACTTTGGGATGATTGAATCATAAAATTCTAGGATATGTCGATATATACTATTATTTTTGAATATAAATGACAATTTAAATAAAAATAACAGCTAGTCGACTTTTGTACGTGAAAAACATAGGTATGATTGAATCATAAAATCCTAGGATACGTTGATATATATCATTATCTTTGAATATATATAACAATTTAAATAAAAATAACAGCTAGTCGACTTTTCTTATTCGATTTTCTTTTTCATCGATTTCATTCATTAATGTAACTTATTTATTATTGATTTTATTTTTTTTTTTACCTAAAATTATTTGGAACCCAAAACAATATTAATTTGGAATTGAACTTATGACTTAAACAAGTTTTTTGTTAATTATTAAACGTTTAATACTCTTGAATCTAGTACGAGGAATATATGATATACATGTTTTTTATAACCACAAAAAAGAATGTGTGATATGAGGCCGTGAGATTTGGACACTGAATCAAACTCCTAGAAATAAGTACATAAAAAATTGAGATAAAAGTCCTTCGCATAAAAACTGAAGCAATCTAAAATCAGAGTACAAAAGAATTTGAGAATATAGTCATAGTGAATTGAAGGTTTAGGTCCCCTTATTATATAGCTATTGTATATGGAATGGCTTCATCTTCAATAGAATTCAACAGAAATAGAAAAATTTGTAGGAATCCAAAAAAAAGTAAATTAATTTTAATAAATTATTGGGAATAAATAATGATATATTGAATATATAAGTAAATATACAAAATTATGAATATAATAAACGATATAAATATAATAAAATAGTAAATTAAATAATATCTCATGTATTTATTGAGCCAGATTTCAGGGAGCTATGTATTAGTAGTAACTAGTGTTGCCCAAATGGGAGACCGCGACGAGTCTTGGTCTTGCAAACTCAGTCTTGGTCTTGGTCTTGCAGTTACTTATTAGCTTATTCCTATAGAGGTATTACTGTAATTTTTTAGATAGAAGAAACCTAACTAAGCCCGAATGAAAAATTAGTGGAGTTAAGTGCAAAAAAATATTGGTTATACCAATTATTGACATATAGTAACTATAATTGTCAAGTATCAGTAACGATTTTTTTTACCAATCCTGGCC